GGTGTATCTAAAATAAGTTTTACCCCTGTTTTGATATCCCGCAGTAAAAAGAAGTTGTTTTGGCGAAGTCAGTGAAAAGAGTTAATCAAAGCCGAAAATTCCAAAGAAAGTTATTTAACATACGATCTTTTTGAATACTGTACAAATTTTTCGTGCGCCACTTTTTTGGCCTGCTGACCTTACAGAAAGAAAAGTTTGGTTACTCATAGAATTTGAAGAACAATAGTCTTTTCAGTTACATAACATTATTATCAGTTATCTTTAAAGAAAACCTCTTTTTTCTTAATTCATTAAGCTGGTCTGAGTTCTCTTCATTTGCGGTTTCGTAGTTTTTCACGGTCTTGCAAAATCATCTCCAAAGTTGTTGATGAGGGGACAAGATTTACACATTTTTGTAAGTTTCAGAGCGACGAAACTTTTTTTGCCTATAAATATTTTTGTAAATATGGAAGAAAGCAGCAGATTGAAAGGAAACGTTGTAAGGGATGAATCTTCCAGTATGCATCCTAAACTGAGGGGGAAAAGACGGAATGACGATTCGTGCGGACTATTGGGTAACTTTTCCTCTACTATATCATCTAATTTCTAGTCGGATAGGGTTTCGTAAGTTGAAGATTGTTACCAAAAACAACTTATGTATAATGAAAAGATCTGAAACGTTATATCTTGCTTTGAGACTCACTGTCGTCGCCCAGTTAAGGCAGGTGCATAATTCTGGTAAGGAAATCAGCCTAACTGTTTAGCAAAATTTAGTTTACTTGGCGTCAAAAATCTAGCTGCTGTAGTAATACCCAACGGATTAAACTATTTAGGTCTAAGCATACATTATACAGTTATTTCAGATAGCTCCAGTAAGAGTTTGCCGTATGATGGAGCAATACCGTTACTCTCGCAAACACTGGTGGAACAAACTGAGCATGTTACCTCGTCTTCCACAGTATCCAACGCGCCAGTATCCGCCTTCACCAGTCTTGCAACACACCTTCCAATTGGCACCAGTGATTCACAAACATCGCCAGCACAATTCTCTTTTGAAGCATCAGAAACTAATGCTTTACTGGAAAAATTAAAAAAACGGACATTTGGAACAGACCCAGATTTGATGACAGCAGCAGGTTCAATTTTTCTTCGTACTGATCTCCTGTGCTGTTGTTGACAAAGGATGACTATTTTTTAGAGTATTCTGTTTTTACTGGTTTGTTTGCAGTTACGAAGAAACCAACTAGAATAGTTTTTTGAAATATTAAATTTATGATATTTGATGAAATTAGGCCATTTGGAAGCTAATAGGTTAAGCTTCAGGCGACGCATCAGTTGAACCTACTATAAACTTAGATGACTGGAAAGGGATTCGCGTTCTAGCTGTATATACGGAATCAGGCCCTTATTTACCAGCTATTATCAAAGAAATTCATGATAGTCGAGAAGTTGTTATACAGGTTGGCTTTAAACTCATCTTGGATTGTGATCTAAAAGACCTTCCTGGTTATCTACTCATAATTCTGCAAGGCAAAATTTGCTGGTACTACCAGATTCTTCTTTGTACCAGTATACCTCTCCACTTGTTATAGTTCGAAGATGGGAAAGAGCGTGTGTTTGAGGACGTTTTAACTGTGGACAAAGTGATTTCTGAAATTATTCCTGATCATGCACCTAATTTTGAATCGGTAATGCTGTTACCTCTTAACAGTGCGATCAACTTGATGAAGTCTTTAAAAAATGCGATTGATAGTAAGCTGCTTAGGAGGTGCTGAAATGTGGCAACATCATTTTTAAATAGGTGTGAGTTAGTGTAGTAATGAGATTAATTTATTCTTCTCAACTTCAGAATATTAAGCTCAACTTAATTACTTCAGATAAAAGAAGGCGACTTATTATGCGCTAAGTGGAATTCTAAAGAGACTGGCTTCGTTCTTGCTGAAGTTGTAAGGAAAGCATCTGGACCTGTAATGCTACAGGTATATTTACATATATGTGTATTAGCAGCATTAAACAGGTTTTTCTAATATATCGCTTTACCAATTAGTTGCCTTAACAGTTTTTCAGTTAACGATTGTGTTCAGCTTTATTTAATGGCTCCTAAATTTCTAAACGCGAAGCTTTCAAGGACGGGTTTGAAAAAAACTTTAGTTAGGTATAAAAGAGTACGAATATTTTCGTTTATTTTTCGGATTGAAGCATAATAGTGTGTAAATTTTATATTCAGCTTGTAATGTCTTTTGGTGGATGTAGCCAGAATATCAAAAAAGGGCTGTTTTAAGATGCGATTGTTTGACGATCCGACATCTGATGCAGTGTGGATAAGTCGCCCTAATGTTCGTCTTTTACATCCTCCATGGTACGATGAATTAAAAGCGAGTAGTAGTTGTAATAGCTGTGATAATGAAAACAGGTAATTTTTTTTATTTAACAGTTTGACAGTATGTGGCATTTATACGTTTTGCATACTTACTGTATTATACTGTATTATTTTAGGTCTTCCAGTGCAGTCAGCCATTGTTTAAAAAAACCTAGTATCTGTGAATCGGATGAAGAACAAAAACGAGAGGAACAGGTAAATATGATTTGACAAACTATTTATTTGACGCTAAAATTAATTGGGTTTGAATGAAATATTTTAAAGAATTATGAGCGTTTTAACGCATTAATATTGTTGTCATGTTGTTATCAGTTCTCTTCTACAAAGTTATTCATATGAAACAATCCAGCCGAATTAAAGACAGATTTATATTGGTGGGTCAGAAATTTGACTGCTTAATAGACTGTAGCACATCGTGGATTTTTTGGGCAACATTAGTTCTTTTAGCTTATGTATTAAGTTACGTTCATTTTGCGTTTGTTAGTCACTAGTTTCGAAACAGTGGATCGCTGCATGTTTAAAACAACCTTTCCTTAGGTATTCTGTGAACGTTTGCATAAAGAAACTGTTTTTTTGAGGTTCAGCAGATTCAAAAACGTAAAATTTCCTTGGTGGGTTTTCTTTTAAGTTTACAGAATTTGTCAGAAGCTCACCTGTAAAGTGTTCGCTTTGTCGTGTTTTGAGTGACAAAATATACGAATGGTTTCATATGAACAGTTGGTGTAAAAAACTGCGATTCTTCAGACAATATCCTTGATACTTGTGAAAAAATGTTTCTTTTTCTGATCTTCGTTACTGAAAGATTGACGTTTATGGGCTGTTGGTAGCACATTAAAAAAATTCACAATTTTTTGTATAATATGCTTCCTCACCCTTCCTTACCCAACGAAAATTTGTAAAAATTTTTATCTAATTTGTTAGTGATTATTTTAAAACTTAGGTCTTGTTTCACCACGTTAAGTTTTAATTTTTTAAACTAATTTACGTATTTTACTTGTTGTATTGCTAAAGCAGAAAAACCTTCCGTTTTTTCAACTGGCTTTGATATAGATTTCTTGTTAGAGGTAGGTTTCAACAATATTTCTTTTCCTATCTGGGCTACCAGTACACCCTTCTATTCAGAGCATTTAGCTAGAGCTATAGATATTTACATTTGAGCTTTAACAGTTGTTTTTTCTCCGAAGTCTAAAGTATTTTAATGCGGTGTATTAGCTACAAAATGTTTTGTTTTTCGAACACTAATTACAATTCTATTACTGTGAACTATATGCGAGAGAGGATTTGAAGATGACATTATTTGAATTTTCTATGTCCACTTGCCAACTAAGATGGTGGAGTTAAAATTTTAACAAAAACCTATATTAAGAAACTATTTTGGGAACGGTATAATCACCATCAAATAACCATTATCATCCTAAAATTAGAATTCCTGATTGCTATTTCTGGCCGTTCGTTCGTTGCCGAAGTACCACACATAAAAATGCCCTAAACCTTTTGTGAAAACCATTTCTGGATCATTTTGACCTAATCACCAGCTTAAGTCTAAACAACTATCACATTTTCTCCTTCAGCTGAAAGGATAATGTTATACAGTGATCGTAAAATAAACTATGGTAGTAAAAATAATATGGGCTAAATAAAAGTAAAATAAAAACTTAAGGATAAAAAATGAGACTTTTTTTGTGGAGGTAGCAAGTAACAGCATTGTCTAAGAGTAGAAACAATTTGTCAGCATTGTTCTGAGCGTTCGCTAATCTGTTTAATACAGGTTATGGATGTTATCATTGAGTGAAGTTAACCAGTAAAATGGGAAATTCGTTTATTATCATTTGATTAAAAAAAACACACACATTTGTTGAGATAAGAGAACTGTTCAGTGACAATTCAGTCAAACACCGCTGTTCTTGGTACAGTTTTCAATTCTTTTTAGTAACTTTTGCGAATACATTGCTAAAACCAAATAAGTATTTGTGAAGAAGTAGTGGAACTATTTGCCATTTTTTTTTTAATAGAATGGTGGACAGATGGATACATCAGAGTGTTAGTTTTGAGCAGTAATAACTGTTACCTTGAAATATCGTCACTGTACCATAAGCATTATCTCAACTTTTTTGTTTACAAAACCAAAATGCTTGGTCTCAACAAAAAAAAAAACCCTTAGTTCTGTGATTTGACTACAAATCAAAAGCAGATTGGAGTGATCTGTCATCAATCTTCAAAACAACAGTACTTTTAGACGTTACTGTTATTTTAGAATATAAAAAAAATTTTTTTTTTT